CCACTTTTTTTAAAATTTTTTTTGGCAAGCATATAACTTTACTACTTACTAAAGAAGAAATCAAATTTGCATGCACAGGTGAGCACTCACTGAAACCCCTTGTATTCATCACATATTTGAGTTTCGAGTTTCAATTCGCTTTTTTTTTTTAAGCATTTTTTTAAAACAAATTTTATTTATCTTTATAAGGGAAAAAAATTAAGTAGCACTAAGACCTGAATGATCTTTAAAAAATAAACCCAGCATTTTCTATGATAGGAACAGAACAGGTAATGTTTGCAGAACTCAGTGAGGACTATCTGGAGTACCTTTTGCTGTCTCATGTTTCCTCTATTCCCTAAGCATTCAACATCATCTACTACGTGCCAGACTCAAAGTGGGCAAAGAGAAGTGCACAGGACACAGACTGCCCGGACCTTCCTGATCACGTTCTATTGGATGTCTTAAAATAGAGACAGCCAGCTTCCCTGTGGTGATCCTCAGCAATAGGAAGATCACATTACGGCTGCACTTAAGGATACTGGCACAACACCCGGTCCACAGTTCGCTAATGACCGGTCACAGTTGGGAAATAAACTGGTGTATTTTACATGGTAGCCTGTCCTTTAGAGCCTTGTTATAGAGTGCCAGGATAAAGGGCAGTTAGGTAAAAGTTAGGTAAGAATTGAAAACTAGGGCTGATGAACTAGCACAGGGGATGAAAGACGCTTGCTGCCAAGCTTGAGTTCTATTCCTGGGACCCATATGGTATTAGGCTATTAACTCGCCCTCTTGCCTCCACATGTGTATCACAGCATGCACGTACATGCCCTCCCCCACCTTAATATAATTAAAAAATTTAAGCTAATTAAAGCAAAGATATTAGATATTAAACAAATTAAGGTGTTTGAAAAGAAATACACAGTCAGGAGTGGTGGTGCACACCTTTGAACCAGCACTTGGAAGGCAGAAGCAGGCAGATCTTTTCTGAGTTCAAGGCTAGCCTGGTCTACAACAGAGGAAATAAGACAGCCAGGGGTTACACAGCAAAATCCTGTCTTTAAAAAAAATTAAATAATAAAAAGGAACAGTAAAAATTAACCAAAACCTCACAAGCCCAAACTCCAAGTATCCTCTAGGTGAAAAGTGAACAAATTTTAAAATATTTTTACTTTTACTATTTCTAATTATGTGTATGTGTGTGTCTGTGTATGGGTATGTGCACATGAGTGCAGGTACTTACAGAGGCCAAAAGAGGGCACCGGATTCTCTGGTGTTGGAGTTACAGGTGGCTGGAAGCTGCCCTATATGGATGCTGGAAAACAAACTTGGGTCCTCCTTAAGAAAGTATATATTCTTTCTTTCTTTCTTTCTTTCTTTCTTTCTTTCTTTCTTTCTTTCTTTCTTTCTTTCTTTCTTTCTTTCTTTCTTTCATTATGTATACAGTGTTCTGCCTGCATGTGTGCCTACAGGCCAGGAGAGGATGCCAGATCTTATTACAGATGGTTGTGAGCCACCATGTGGTTGCTGGGAATTGAACTCAGGACCTCTGGAAGAATAGCCTGTGCTCTTAACCACTGAGCCATCTCTCCAGCCCCGAAAGTATATATTCTTAATGTACTCTCTAGCTCCATGATCATATTCTTAAAGCTAAGAATAATTTCAAAGGATATAAAGAAATAGGACATTTCTTTCAACCAGTCTAAGTGTAGCAATGAAAACATGGATCATGATTTTAGACATTAAAATGAAGTGGCTGAGCTGGAGTTGGCTCGATGCTTAAAGTCATTTGTTATCCTTGCAGAGGACCTGGGTTCAATTCCCAACACCTGCATGGGGCTCACAACCACTTGTAAATCCAGTCCCAGGGAATCTGATGCCTCTCCTGATTTCCACAGGTACCAAGAAACATATGGTACATACATGCAGGCAAAATATTCATACATACAATATATAAAATCTTTTAAAAATTCAAAGAAATGAAAAGAATGAAGAAGCTATTCTTTCATTTGTATTCTTTTGAGACAAGGTCTCACATAGCTCAGGCTGGCCTCCTATTTGATATGTACAGGAGGATGACCCTGAGATCTTAATCCTCCTCCCTCCACCTTTCCAGGTGCTGGGATTACAGGCATATGACTCCATGTCTAGCACAGAAGGAAGCTATGTTTATTTAAGTCTTCCCTCAAAACTTGGGTCCACTAAACAGAAGGTTCATGTTTGAAATACATGATTTCTTAAAAATCTGTTTTTGTTTGTTTGTTTGTTTGTTTTTTGAGACAGGGGTTCTCTTGCAATAGCCCTGGCTATCCTGGAACTAGCTCTGTAGACCAGGCTGCCCTCAGACTGACAGAGATCTGCCTGCCTCTGCCTCCTGAGCATGCTACCACCACCTGGAAAATCTTTTTTGAAACAAGTGTCTCACTACATAGTTCAGACTGTCACGCAATTCATTTATGTAGTTCAGGCTGGCATTATACTTAGATACTCCTTCCTCCAACTCTATAGAGCATGAGGATTACAGGTGTGTGTCACCCTGCCCAGCCTACCATAGCAAAGTTTTGAGTGTGAAATCCCTCAGGGTAAACATTCATAGAATGGAGGTGGCAGCACTTCTGTTCACACAGTGCTAGTTTCCCACAGTGAGCCTGATGCTCAGTCAGGGCCAGCTATGCTTCACTTTCAGGCTTTTCCATGCCAGCCCTGCTGGTTGTATAATTGCACAACTTAATTACATGTTGGTCAAACTCCAAAATGACATGAGAATAGTTACTTCTGTGAACACAGAAGCTGAATGCATTTAAGATTAAAGGTAGGTTCTGACCAAAAAAAAAAAAAAAAAAAAAAAAAAAAAAAAAAAAAAAAAGCTAATGTATGCAAGGTGTCCATGGTTTAAAATGTAATACTTTCAAAATCTAACATCTATGCTCAGACTAGCTCTACAAGTATGTAACCTCTTGCTCAATTTTAGAGGAACCAAAGTTGGAAATTATAGCTGGACTACAGCATTGGTATAAATAAAAAGACATTGGGCTCACTACTACCCACCCTTTAAAAAAAAAAAGTGTTGAATCAGTTGATAAGCATTTGTCTGGTTTTTATTTAAAAAAGTTTTGAGAGGCCAGGTGATGGTGTTGCATGCCTTTAATCCCAGCATCTGGGAGGCAGATCTCTGGGAGTTGGAGACCAGCCCAGTCAACAAAGCTACAAAGAGAAACCCTGTTTTGAAAAACTAAAAAAAAAAAAAAAAAAAAAAAAAAAAAAAAAAAAAATTGGAGACAGGTCTTACATAGCCTACCTGGTCTTAAACTTGCCACATAGCTGAGGCTGGCTTTGAAGTGCTGAGATTACAGTCAGTCAGTGCCATGTTTGTTGTACTCATCATTTTAAGCGTTCTGCCAGTCTTTTGACTGAGCCGCCAGATCACATTAGATTAGAGGCAGACCACCTTATGATTCAAAGTATTATTATCAGAAATAAAGAGCCTCTACTTGGCTTCAGAATATTTTATGGTCCAATTTGCAAAGAATACATGTGTAAGTCACGATTCTTTGAAACACAACAGAACCACAGCTATACGGCAATTAATTTAAAACCAATACATACTAGTGATATATTCGTAACACTGTGGTCTCTAATACCAAGCCTCTGCTTTGGGTTCAGTTACATATGTACCCAGACCTTTAGCCTTTCTCTTCTTATTGTCCAAAAAAATACAATGAATAAAGATTGGAAACTCAGGATTGGGAATAGAAGATAGCTTGGTTGGTAAACTTATTGTTGTGCAACCATGAGGACCCGAGTTTAGATATCCAGAACCCCAAAACCACATGTGATGATGTGTGCCTGGGATCCTAGTGCTAGGGAAATAGACACGAGGATCCCCTGGGCTTCCTAGCCAAGCTGGCAAGCTCCAGGCTTGGCAGAGACCTGTCTCAAATAATAAGGTGGACAGTGACTAAAGAAGACACTGATGTTAACCTCTGACCTCTATTCGAACACATGTGCACAGAAGGCAGGCAGGCCAGCTGCTCTCTCCAGGGTTATCAAGATGCAGAATTTCTACATGAATACCTCTGGGGCTAAAAGCACCATAAAGGTATTGAATACCTCTCATATAAAGATTACAGATCTTGGGCCTAAGGACAGCCAGAATGCCACTCTAAGTAAGTGCCTGATGCATAGGAGGTCCTCAGTAACTGGAGCCTTACCTTTTTTTTCTTATCTTTAAATTGCTTGATCAATGTGAGTACGTGTTCCACAAGAAACATGAAATATAAGCCCCCGAGAGCTGTCAGACCTTTCCATGTGGAATCAAAATAGGTGCTTTCTTCTATGTTCTGAGCTGACAGGTGACTGAACAATGGACCTCTTTTCATTTCCATTGATGGTTCTTCGTGGCTATGACTGTGGTGATGACTTGCATGAGACTGAAAGTAAAAAAATAGTTTTTAGTCACAGTTTCATATGTCAGAAAAACTGCCAAATAGGAAGTCATTCAGAATTAAGCAATTAGTGGGATACTTTACAGTTGAGGAGATATTGAAAAAAATAAAGAGGATAGTGGGCAGCTAATTACCTAGCGCTTTGTGAATGCTACTGGGTCTGTTTGGTGACCACTATAACTTGAGTATTCTCAATGTCTGATACGTTACTATGGCCACAATAACATGGACTTCATACGCACACAGTATTTACTACTTACAGGTGCCACTTAGAGGCTCATACCAGGCTCATCAGATCATCAGATCAGTCCTGTGAGAAGCCTAGTCAGAGGGATGGGCCCTGCAGGTGGCTGAGCACCTGGATGCTGCATGTGTGACCTGCAGCAGAGTGTAGCAGTAACTAGCCAACGCTTCTTCTGATAGGAAACCAGCTGGGCGTTGCAGCATCCTAACCAATGCCATGGGGTCACCGCTATGCATAGGCCACTTCCCGCAGTTAGTACGCCTAAACACCTGTCATTTGGTAGTCAGAGAGACAACCACTCAGAATAGTTTTCATTGAATCCAACATGAGATTGCCAGTGTTCTAGGAAGGAGTTAACTTCTCCTTTCTACCAAACTGAAAATCTCTATGTTAAGTGTTGTTTTTTTCAGTGCTGTGTATTGAAGGCAGGGCTTTATTTTAGGCAAGTGCTCTACCATTAAGCCACATCTTCAACACTCTAAGAAAAATGAAAAAAGTGACCTGCAAATATTTCCTGCTTGTGACTTATCCCAAATACTTAATAAAAGATAAATTAACTTTATCAGATCTGTATATTGAATAATTCATGCCCGGTGGTAGTGGCCTTTAATTCTAGCACTCGGAGTTAGAGGCAGGTAGCTCTCTATGAGTTCAAGGCCAGTCTGGTCTACGGAGTAAGTTCTAGTACAGTCAGGGGGATACACACAAATAAACCCTGTCTGCAAAAAAAAAACCCCCCAAAAAAAACCAAAAAAAAAAAAAAAAAAACAAAAAAA